GAAGACTGGCCTGAACTACATAGTGAGACTGTCTCAAGAACCCTCCCCACAAAAGAACCATTTTAACTGCAGTTGTCTTCTTATTTAGAAATGCAGGTTTTGGTCATATCAAAGTATTACTTGACTTTTGTACATTTTTCTCAGGGAAGCCACTGTATTGTGAAGGAACTCTTTCCTTTTTTATTTGTAGGTTTTTAATAATGTGTCAAACTATTCCATGTATTCTCTCTGCTTTGCGTACTACACAGGTGTGGAAAAAGATTTTCTTTTGAATTTTTTATTGTTACTGTTTCCTTTTTTTTTCATTTTAGGCAGCTTCTCTCTGTGTAGTTCAAGCTGGCCTTAAACTCGCTTATGTAGCCCAGGCTGGCCTAGTCCTCCTGCCTCAGCCTCCTGAATGCTGAATTACAGGGGTTTGCCACTATGCCCAGCTCTTTTGGATTTTTTAAAAATTTTTTTTATTTTCTGGTACCGGGAATCAAACTCACAACCTCGCGCTTGCCAGGCAGGCACTGTGCCGCTGAGCTAAATCCCCAGCTCCTCTTTTGGATTTTTTAATCAGTTTAATTTCTTGTCATCTAAGGAATGGTAATGAGGCACTCTTAATTATTTGGATAGATAGGTGATTTTGTGTGTGTGTGTGTGTGTGTCGTTTTGAGACAGGGTTTTACTGTGCAGTTCAAGGTGGTCTTAACTCGCTTTTTTTTTTTTGGTTTTTCTCCGGTACCGGGAACCGAACTCACGACCTTGCGCTTGCCAGGCAGGCGCTTTTGCCGCTGAGCTAAATCCCCAGCCCCTTAACTCGCTTTTGAGCTTGTAGCTCAGGCTTGCCTCAGACTTGCAGCAATCCTCCTGACCTAGCCTTCTGAGTGCTGGTATTACAGGCCTGTGCCACCATGTCTGGCCTTTTTAATATTTTAATTAATATGCTTATACAGACATAATCGTATTTAACTGCTCTAGCCAAGGACTTGAATGTGTGGTTAAAACAATGGGAAGTTTTTACAGCTTTGCTAATAAGTTGTTCTGTATGTGGTGTTCTAGGGTGGACTAGTACGGTCACCAGCATCTGAGAGCTATTGTCTTTTCACGCTTTTCCTGGCCCTTATTGCTTATTTGTTCATTTTACTTTTTGTCATTTTACTCTTTTAACCTCCTTTTTGAGGTGGACTAAATGGTCTGTAAAGGGACTCAATTTAGAGCCTTTTCCTTGGGTACTTAGATTCGCCCTATTTCCATTATTCCTATGGTTCTGAGATGCATTCAGGGAAATTTCAAGTGTTTCTCCCTCTCTCCATCTCTCTCTCTCTCTTTTTTTTTTTTTTTTTGTCTTTTTGAGACAGGGTCTCGCTATGCAGTTTAGGCTGGCCTTGAACTCACTTTGTAGCCCAGGTTTTTTTTTGGTTTTTCTCTGGTACCGGGAATCAAACTCACGACCTTGCGCTTGCCAGGCAGGCACTGTGCCGCTGAGCTAAATCCCCAGCCCCAACAAGAGTTTTGGGGCTTTTTTTGGTGTAGCCCAGGCTGGTCTCAAACTCGCAATGATCCTCCTGCCTCAGCCTCCTGAGTGCTGGGATTACAGGCGTGTGCCACCATGCCCGACTCCTCTCTCCATCTCTGTCTGTATCTCTGTCTGTATCTGCATCTCTATCTCCTTCTGGTATTGATGTTTTTCTCTTCTCCGTAGGTCAGCAGACTTAGAACTTGTTTTTCCACATGAACATAATTGATAGGATACTATTAAGCTGGCTGAAGACCACGGTGGAAAGATCATAGGCATTGTGAAGTACAGGGAAGCTTAATTAAGAAATCAGTAGCAATGTGTGATTCCAACAAAAGTTTGAATTTCATGGCATTTACCATGTACTGAGGACAGCAAACATCGCCGTAGGAGAGTGTGACCTACCCCGAGCACTTGTATGCACTCATGGCTCTTACTGAATCCTTTACAACAGACACTGTGGTAGTTGGTCTGAGCTGCCTGCTTCCTCAAAACTACTTAACTCCAAAGCTGCAGTTCTAAGTCGAGTATTTACTGCAGCCAGTCTTAACTTGATCGTGTCATTCTCACCTTGTGTTGTCTCCTTCAGACATTCATGACCTGACCTTTGAAATCACCCCACCTTACTGAGCTCACTGGCGGCCAGTGGAGAGTGAGAGTTAGTCTGTTGGAAGGAATGTCCAGAAGATCTGGGAGGTCAGGCAGCCAGTTTCTTGTGGCTGGGGTGAATGTGATTCATCACAAGCCCCTCCGGCAGTCAGTCCTGTGCATCCCTGCCTGCTGTCTGTCCCTCAGGAGCACCCTAGGAGTTTCTGCATTGCTGTCCGTACTCCATTCCGGGAGTGTACACAGATTCTGATTGGTTCATGCCTTTGGGTTAATGTAAGCTTACAGACTAATGTAATCAAAAATGCTGCCTTGGTTCTGAAAAGCGTGGCAACCATTACTTAGAAATTGGTCTGGTTATTTCTCTTGTGATTATTGTGAGATTTATGCCTTCATGGGTGACACACACACCTCTGTCTCACGTGTTCATTTATTCTTAGCAGTGCTTCCTTCAGCCCTTTCCTGGTCAGCAGCTCTGATGAGGAACAGCATGATCCCTGATTTAGGCACACTTTAAACCACAAGGTTCATGCACACTCCTAATATGAATCATGGAATGACAGCGCATAAAGAAAACTTGTTCTCCAAGCATGCTTGTACCTCTTGTTTAGTGGTTATGCAGATTAGAATATCTTTTTCATTTCTTACATTTTTCCCTGCTTGGTCATCTTTACAGTTTATACATCCAGTGGTGCCCAAGTATCTTCTTTTGCCAAGAAGCACTTGGCAAATATATTTAATCTTGAAACCCATCTAGCAATTAAAATTGATCTATTTCTTACCCTGGTCCTCTCAGATATAAAATCTAAAAATAGATTAAGACATCTAATACGTATAAAATTTGTCAATATAAAAACTTAGAGGGGCTGGGGATTTAGCTCAGCGGCAAAGCGCTTGCCTGGCAAGTGCAAGGTCGTGAGTTCGGTTCCCGGTACCGGAGAAAAACCAAAAAAACCTTAGACAGTTGTACTTTTTTTTGTAGTCCTTTGGCGTAAATATCTTAAGTGATACCCTTTAAAATGACTGTCAGATGGTTTTATGTTTATCAGTATTGATCCATGTCACAGACAGCCTTGATTAACTGGTTGATAATTTCAGAGTATAATAAGCAGCTCTTGTGACGCTTTTCCCTGTCCCTGAGAACCATAAACATCAAAGAATCCTTTTACCCTTTCGTGAAGATTCTCTGGAAAGTAGTCATGTTTATTCATTAATAACAGGACAAGGAGCAGTGTCATAGAGGGTTAAATCCAAGTAAATTGGCTTCCACACGTAAAGAAATTTTCTGGAAATCATGAATGTAAGTGAAAAAACAAAGAAGGAAACCGACAGACCATTCTGCTGCCGTAGTGACCATGTGGAGCGCGTAACCTCATCCTCAGGGTTCCAGTGAAGTTTTTGTGCTATATCCTGCCGAAGTCGCCACTGCACAAAATCGATGAGCAAACGAACATGCTAAGTACACTTGCCCACAGCAGACAGCAGCAGTAGGCTGATCCAGAAGACTTGTTTGCCGTGAATTTTGGGCTGCACTGGGTACAAAAGGGTGCTCTGAACGAGCGTGTAAAATACGCCCATACCAAAAGTGAGCGTATTACCACTGACAGGTACAACAAAAAGGGCTGTTTCCTGGAAATTTGCCACAAGAGAAGCCCCTGAACAACTTAGTGGATTATAAGAGCTATGGGAAGGAAACGTCAGTCGGGTCTCTGGTCACTTGCCTGTTCGGTTTTTTTTTGGGGGGGGGGGGTCTTTTTGAGGCAGAATCTCACTATCACAGATCATGCTGGTCTTGAATTCACTCTGTAGCCCAGGCTGACCTCAAACTTGCAAGAATCCTCCTGCCTCAGCCTCCTGAGTGTTGGGATTACAGGTGTGCACCAGTTTTTATCTTTCTCACTAGTCTTTATAGCAGGAAACAGCTGATTCACCGCTACATTTCCAGCTCCTCACCCAGCTGACCTTGCCAGTCAGCCCTGGCCTCCAGAGCCTGCCTGCAGCTTGCAGACAGGGCGGGGCCTGGGCGCGCTCCCGAGCGGCCCATCGATGGCCGTCCTTCCTCTGCTGGTGAACAAACAAAAAGCAAAAGTGAAAACATACTGAAATTTAAACATTGACACAAGTAATCTTTGTTGATGCGTCTGTATCTCTATTTTCAGTGTATATTTTATGATCTATCCCTGGAGATTAATAGAAGGAACTGTTCGTCCTGAAGGCGATTCAGGGGCTTTGTATTGCATTGCTTGTGCTGTTAGGTTTTAATTTGCCCAACCAAAGTATTCATGTCTTTAAAATTTAATTTTTCTAAATTCAGTACTTCTTAGTATTGTTGATGAAATTTATCACAGTGAATATTAGTAAATAAATTCTTAGAAAACGTAAGGGTGTTTTAAAATCTCATTTTCTTACACTGCTTTTTCTCTTAGTTTTCCTTTGTTTCTTTGTGTTCTCGCACTCTGCTGGCTTTTCATGAATTTGTGTGAACTAAAGATTGTTCTAGCCTGGAAATCTTTTCCTTTTCCTTCAGAACGCCATTTAAAGGTAAAACTGAAGAGAATGAGGGCTCTAAGGTAATGTAGTAGGTCGAAAGAAGGACTAGACTTGAAACAGGAAGCTGTTTTCCCATCTCAAGCGTACAACATGTTGTTGTAGTACTTACCCGACTCATTCACCGAAGACTCCATTTCTACATTGGAGGCAGTTACATTGGAGCCGGCTGACTGCTGCCATTACTAACACCGAGTACGCCCGAATGCCTGTGATGTACTTTCACTTTCTGTATAACTGACATGAAGATCATATTAATGAGAAAATGAAATAAAATGTCTTCAAACAATATGTTTATTTTGCTTAAACTATTTCCGTAACATACATTTCTTTCAATTTTTCTTAGTTCCTGAAGTTAAGGGAAAAAAGAAGCCATTGATCACTTATGTGGGAGACTCGACTGTCCTGGTGTGTAAATGTGAAAAGTGTGTTGGACCTTCACATTGGACCTGGTACAGAAGTAATGGAAGTGTACAGGTAAGACTGTATTTCTTTCATTTGAAGAAAACAGAAACACCCTTTAGTTCATAAATAAGATTATAACAGACTTACAGTTCCTAGAATGACTTACATTTTTGTAATCTTATTTTTTAAATATGTATTTTATAAAGAACATTGATAAATGGAGTTATCGTTTGTGTTCATTTTACATGATACATCTGAAGATACTCTTAATGTGTCGTTAATTTGTACTTTGTTTTTTTTAGGTTTAGTAGTTTTTATTTTGGTACCAGGAATCGAACCCAGGACCTTGTGCTGGCCAGGTAGACACTTGTACCGCTGAGCTATATCCCTGGCCCTTAGCAGTTTATTTAAACTTAGAAAGAAATTTCCAATTCATTTTTAGTTGACCAGTTTAGAAATAACCCCATTAGAAAAGATTATTTTATCTTTCATGAAAATAACTAGTAAAAAAAAAGTTGTCTTTCTTTCTGTGTTTCTGTCCTGAAATGTTTGTAGTAGAATATATGGTTAGAGCATCATTTTAAAAAAACAAATGAACATTTGGTAGCTTAGAGTTAGATCTTAGATCCTACTGTGAGTATCATTGGTCTTATTTGACCGGAAGCTGCACACTCTTGTGTGTGTTCTAATTCTTTTTGTCTTAGAGAGAAATAGCAATTGAGAGAACTTACGTGAAGAAATACAAGAGTGTTCAGTCCGTCGTTTCCGGCTTCCTTTCTTCTCCCAAATAGCCTCCAATGGCTGGAGAATTTCAGATGGTGTCTTGTAGGGGACCTTTTTCTCTCCCTGGTGCTAATGAGCCTTTAAATTACAGTCATGTTAAAGATGAACTATAATTCTAAAAGGAACACGAGAGGCAGAATGGACCTAACAATGAAATATTAAATTCCTTCTGAGAGAAAATTGGTGCTGCGTAGACTGCTGACGGATGGCAGAGGGAGGAAGGACCTGGGAAGGAGAGTGACTGGTTTCTGCTGTAACACTGGTTTAATAAGAACAGAGCTCCAGATTGTATAGATGCGCACTTCACGCCACTGTAACTTCTGCTGCGTGTCTTATCGATGATTAAGACAGACACACAAAGGTTTTAAAGAACATACAAATTCGTAAAATCAAATAATCAACTGGTATTTATGCATATGTGATACCAGACAACCAATAGGTTAGACTACATTAAACATTGAAAAATGTCATTCACACATACTTGCGTTTCTCTGCGTTGGCTCTACAAACCTTATCCTTGCAGTTTGGTCCTAAGCACCGCCATAATAGAGTATAAAAAATGTACAGGCAAGACGGTATGGGTCAGAATTTAGGTGAAGTGTTGTTTCAGCCTGTAACCAACAGTCTGCATCAGAACGAGCAAGGTCCTTATTTTCAGTGCAGTTCTGACTCAGGACAAGGCATTTGTTAGAAGCATCCCAGGCAATGCTGGGCACGCATACCCAGGTCACAGTGATTTTTTTTTTCCCCTTTGGCAAATAGTATTACTCAAAGTTCTTCTGCAGATAACCTCTGAGAATGTTGTGTGCACCTTGGCATTTGTTGAACAGTGCCATAGACAGACAGAGCAGGGAAGCCATCAAGTGGCCTGAGCCTTAATTTTAATTTAAATACATCAAGTGTAACAGCTATCAGATAGCTTATCCTGAGCCTGGGGAAAACCCGGAGACTCTCAGAAGCCCGTTTGGAGAGGCAGGGGCAGAGAAAGCAATTGGGATGCCAGGAAAGAAGGGCTGCAGGCCACCTCAAGCAGCAGTCCCTGGGGTGGGGGTTCCTTTGATTCCTTCTCCCTCAGCTCTAGAGGGCTGAAGATTTCCGCGAGGGTCACTGCATGGGTAACTACCATTGCTAAGTGATTTCTTTCATATGAACCATAGGAATTAGTGGCTTCAGGGGGAAGTAGTAGTTAAACTGGGTGCCTGTGTTTGTGAAAAGCCAGTCCGATATTACTAGAATGTAAAACCCAGACAGCTAAATTCCCCCGCTTTTAATTCTCATATAACATTTACCCGTAACAACTTGCTGACTTGTTTGTAGTTTAGAATATCAGTGCCAAATTTTCCACATAAAGTGTAAAATCCTTCCAGCCAAGTACTTTTTCCTGTTTATTACCTGGATGATCCAGATAAACTCTAATAAGGCTTAAGGCCTGCTCTAAATAACTTCTCATAAACTCTAGTGTGCCTTTTTCCAGTAAGCAGTTTTCTTATAGCTTTGCTTAAAATTGGATCAAACAGGGCACGTGTCTTTTATTCAAAGTGATAGAAATGGACTTTACTGTCTCCTTATGTTAGGTTCCTATTGACGCTAACATGAGTGCTAAGTATGTGATCAGCGGAGCACACAACAATGAAACAAAGCTCAAGCTGATGAATCTCCTGGAAGAAGACGGGGGATCCTACTGGTGCCGGGCAGTGTTCCCGTTAGGCGAGAGTGAAGATCAGCAGGAACTTGTTGTGCTGAGCTTTCTGGTGCCCCTCAAACCGTTTTTTGCTATCATCGCTGAAGCTGTTCTTTTAGTGGCCATTATTCTGCTTTTTGAAGTGTACACACAAAAGAGAAAGAAGCACCCAGGTAGGATTCTTCGTTGTAAATAGCATCACTTAATTACAGTATATATTATCATGTAACACATTACTGTGACTTTAAAATGTTGGGGGAAATCCATCTTATTTGGAGCAGTACTTCCGTTAGTGACAGTGGTAATAGTGAGCTGTGAGCCTATACTGATCCTTTGATTTCAACTTTAATAATTTTATTTATTTACTTGGTGCTACCAGCATCTAAGCACCAGTTAGGGTGTATGTGTTATGACGATGGGATATTAGAAAAATCTGTGATTGGTTGGTATAAAAGATCTTAAACAATTTTTTCCACTTAGGTAACTCACTAAAACATATTTTATCTATTGATAAACTCTTTTGAAGTTTTCATCAGAAGAGACCTTGTTCAGTCAAGTTTCCTTGTTCTGTATCTTGTGCCTGATGTGTTATTGAGTTCAGAAAATTTATATTACATCCTATAGTCTTTCCTGATTTTGTATTTGATTAATTCATTCCTGAACTATCCAGACAGGGTTTTGCTGGCCTCAAATTGGCCATCCTCTTGGCTGCAGCCTCTGCAGAACTGGTGTTACAAACCCTGCACCAGCTCACCTAACTTGTTAAATTTTTAATAACTGAATGACAGACTAATGAATCATCTTCTTTTGAAAATCCCGGGGCACTGAAATGTTCTTGATCGGAGATGCAGATAAGGTGTGGAGCGCACATGCAGAGGAAGGCTGCAGGCCTTCTAAGGCAGCACGTCTGTCTTCATTCCAAAGAGTAAAGCAGCACAGAGTTCTTCCCTGAGGGCCAGGTTCACTTGAACATAAAGTGTCCCGTAAAAAATAAGGCATCACGTTTAATGGTCACATTCTTCTTTTGTTACACAGACGATGGAAAAGAATTTGAACAAATTGAGCAGCTGTAAGTATTATTCTGTTACTGATTTCGCTTGGTAAAATACTGAGAAATATGAGATTGAATGAAATGTGTGCCATTAGGAATGAAACAGCGTAAGAGTTCAAGAGGACGTCTGTGGTACTTCCTGGTCATGGCCCTGAGGTGCCAGGGTGGAGTCCGGGGTCCGGCTGCCTGCAACACAGCATGGCTTACTGCCCTCACCTCTCTGCCTGGGTTTTCTCCTCTGCAAAATTGCTTCATGATAGCACTTAACCATGTAGGTCTGTTGGATTAAATGACACTGTAGGTGTAAAACGGCATTGTCGAGCGAGGCTTTGGTGCCCAAGTGCTCAGTGACCTTAAGGAAGTATTACCTGTTTGAGTGATTCTCAGCCTTGCCTGTAGTTTTGATCACTGAAGAGGCTCCTTAGCGGTACAGTTGCTCGGATCTTGCTGGGTCTCCCAGGTCCGAGTCTCAGGGATTGGGGCCTGTGTGTCTGTGTCTCTCAAATGTGTACAAGTGGTTCTCATTCTCTGTTGCCTTGAAGGCAGCTGGCCTCGAATTCTGTTAGTAATCATTGTCGCGAGAATGTTCGTTGTGCTGTAAGTACACTGCTAGTTCTCTTTAGTAGAAAATGTTAGAAGAATTGAGAGTAAGGTGGCCAGGGATGCCATTTGGTTTGGGCAAGGTGGGAATTCGTTCCTCCAAGCCAGAGAACTGAGAGCAGAGGCTAGGGACAGAGGTGGCCAGCATGGGGATTGGGCTGAGTAATAAAATCTAGGGTGGACTGAGACCACGAGAAACGAGGGGCCTGAGCGGCTGTTGCCAACACAGAGTGACCGGACGTCTGGCTTCCTCAGGAGCCACACTGCGGCGCAGGAGTGGGCCGGACACTTGCCCTTCCTGTTCACAGATACTATTCAGACAGGCGTTTTGACTTAGTTCCCACGGAGCAGGTACAGTAAATCAACAAGAGGTAGGCTCTAAGTTAGAGCTACAGAGTTACTAAGTCAGGAGTTTCCTTGAGACAAGTAGAGGAAAAACGGTTAGAATCAGAGACCCTCAGAGTTGTTGGAACGGCGCTGCAGCTGTCCCAGGGCAGGTCTGCTGCCTGCCTGGAGAACTGGGACATTATCCATAGCAACCTGAACTTGGTTCCTATGTTTTGGTCCTCTTGCTATATTCTTGGAGTTATGAAACATACGGCAGATGTGTACATCCTTGAAGACAGTTCTCACATTGCCAGATTCTTTACCCAGCGCAGCCTGCCCAGTGTCTGTGACCACACTCGAGGTCACCGGTGGCCCCTGTGCTCTGCTTTGTGCAAGACACACCCTGTAAGGATGGTCCATGGACAGTCGGAATGTGCTGTCGATACTATACAGTTTCCCTTACTTATGAACCCTAGCCTATTTGATAATTTTCCTAGAATATGTTAGAAGCAATGTCAAAATGATTCCATGTAAAATATAAAGAGTGGTATTTATTCTTTTTAAAATTGGAATAATGGGGCTGGGGATTTAGCTCAGCGGCAAAAGCGCCTGCCTGGCAAGCACAAGGTCGTGAGTTCGGTTCCCGGTACCGGAGAAAAACCAAAAAAAAAAATTGGAATAATGTACGTCATTTTCTCCATCCTTAACTATCACATATCACGGGAAGTGTCTCACTTTAGGTTATTTTAGTATCTTTAGATTATTAGAAGTAGCTAGGGCACTTTAAAGTTCCTTTGCATCAGCTGATTATCCATGTTCCTTTTAGACTTAGTATTTAAGAGATTTCTTTTGGCAGAAATATATTTTACATGTAATACCTGTATATGTGTTTAGCTGAATAGGAGTTTCCTGGTGAAACTAATTCTTAAAGAGAGTAGTGAAATGTGTTCCATCAAAACATTGGTTTATCTGATTCACTTATATTCAATCCAAATGGTTACTGGCACCCACGCAGTTCTGACATCACTGACTGGGTGGTTGAATTTATTATCTAGTGGGCATAGCTTAACGAGATCAAGGCCGCCCATCAGGTTTGTAAGACATTCATTATGCAAAATCATCACCTTGTTCAGTCATAAGAATTTGAACCCTGCATTGTAGTCTTGTGCTGATGCACACTGGGTAAAGAACCATGCTTAACCTGCACCTTGATGTAATAAACATCAAATTACTGCACCAGTGTCACACAAACTGGTAGGTTCCTATCTGGGTGTTAGCTTCCTTGCATATTTTGAAACAACACATGGGTTGTGGTTTATGTCCAAGCCCCTGGGCGAGTACAGGAAGAAGCAGTGTTCCCTCTGCATAACATGTCTTATTACTGTCTCCCATCCAAGTGCTAACCAGGCCCAACCCTGCTTAGCTTCTGAGGTCAGATGAGATCGGGCGTGTTCAGGGTGGTTTGGCCGTAGACTATTAACTGTCAGCTGTACCAACATTCATCTCTGAACAGTGCATAGAGAAGTAAAATCAACATTGTGAGCAGGACATTTTTAAGGACAACATATATCTGTATTGAAATCTTGCATGTTCTCCTGATATCCCTGATACGAATAGTGTACTGACTTAATATCAAGCATTGTAAACATCTGGTGATTTTCCTTTTTGTTCTCCATACAGGAAGTCAGATGATAGCAATGGTTTAGAAAATAATGCCCCCAGGCAAAGAAAGAAATGTAAGTTATATTCAAATGATAGTGCAAATAAAAGGGGAAATACAGTATACGTGAGCTGTTTATTAAACCAGATACTTTTTTTTTTAGTTTCATAAAAGTTATTTAATATGTGTCGGAATATGTTTGAATGTACAGGTATTACTAAAGAAAATGTAGTTTTACAAAAATAACAACATCCTTTTCCTGGAGAAAAGCAGTAGCAATATGAAGTAGATACTGTCTATATGTTTTTTTTTCTTTTATCACCCTGGGCTAATTTCTTTTGCAGTGTTTCTTTTTTTCTCTTTTTGAGACAAGGTCTCGCTATGCAGTTCAGGCTGGCTTTGAGCTCACTTTGTATCCCAAGCTGGTCTTGAACTCGCAACGACCCTCCTGCCTCAGCCTCCTGAGTGCTGGCATTGTAGGTGTGCGCTGCCATGCCCAGCTACAGTGTTTTATGTAGCCTTTTCCCCCCTCAAATTTTCTGTGTTCTGTAACTTTATTCTCATTCAGTCCTACGTGTGTGGTGCTATGAACTAATCTATGGTAGTTAATTTTCTTTAGTGATTCAACATTTTCTCAGATCGTTGATATTAGAGCACCTTCTTCTGGCAGGAGATTGTAACCCTCACTTTCCAGTACTTTTTCTTTTTTTTTGCTTTACTAAAATAATAGTAAGTTTTTATGGAATAACAAGCACATTAATTTTATTTCCTTATGCTTTATTTAACTCAGGAATCTGTGAGCCAGTGAATGGATCACATCAAGCATCGTGGGAAGATGTACAAGGATGTGTTTCAGCTTTTAAGAGTTTGAGTTTTTCCTGACTTGCATGGCCAGACCCTGTCTTCAAAAAAAAATGACAAAAAACAAAGAGTTTCTGAGTTTTTGTGTTTTCAAAGATGAAAAGTTTAAAAAAAAGATGAAAAGTTTATGCGGCTTGTACACCAGTAGCTTTATACATAATACATGCTATCTCAGATCTAGAGCCTTTATTTCATGTCGTTATTGCTTTATACTAAAGCAAGGCAAACTATGTGAAATGTGTTCCGTGAGCTGTAACCCAGAGTAATTAATTTTATCTTGGTCTTTAAAGGGCATCAGCAGAATGAGTTAATAATTCATAGAACAATTTAAAAAAGTACTCCATGGAACAGGTATCACTAAAGACCTGTCTATAACCAAAGAACCTATTAAAAAGGAAGTCTTTACTGTTTATGTCTTAAAAAAAGTATTTTTCCTAATCATGCTTTGTGTGTATAGAAATTTGTATTTGTATAATAGTTTCATGTAAAGTTGTGATATTGAAAAATTGTGTCATTAGGACTTCAATCTTTGTGTTTTTTGCTAATGATGGTTACACTCTCTGCAAGTACAACATAGCTTTTGTCCATAAATCATAGCTTAAGACAAGGAAGTAAACCGTGCTCTTAGCTGGGTATGGTGGTTACATCTGTAATCCCTGCTGTTCAGGGGGCTGAGGTAAGAAGATCAGAAATCTGAGGCCAGCAATTTAGTGAGACCCTGTCTCACTAAAAAAAATAAAACAAAAAAAACTGGGAATGTAGACCAGTGGCAGGCCACTTTCTTGCTTTACCATGTGCAAGGCCCCAGGTTCAATCACCAGTACCTGAAAAAGTCAAAACCAAAAACAAACACCAAAGAAGATTTTAAAAAACCTCAAAAAACAGAAAAACTAACTAACAAAAAAATCCTATGCTTGCTCCTAAGCTCTGTTGCTACAGAGCAACTCTCTGTCTTTCCCATACCAAGCCACAGTGCTACTTGTCTTTAGAGCATTTTTGTTGTTGTTTCTGTTTCTTTTGTTTTATAAGCCCTGGACCTTGGACTTCTCCAGGTGTGTAAGTATTAACAATACACCACTGTCAGCCGGGTGCTTCTGTGGTTCATGGTTTCCTGGTGTCTTCTATTTTTTTTTTACTAAGTTTGTTTGTATCCATGGCTGGTTAAATATATAAAAATATGTCATTAGTGCTTTACAATAGTAATTCTTTTGGCTGGAATATAGATGTATTGAAGTACTTTATTTTTGCAAATGCCTTAACATAGTATCTGAAAGTAGGATAGTTTCTATTGCATATATATCTGAAATATTTTATAAATGAATTATAACCAAATTCAATGAAACCTGAATGTACATGGAAGTTTCCAGTGACTTTAAAGGAAATAATGGAAATCATGCTACACTACCCTAGATTGTCCGTGGTGTGAGCAACCAGAAGCAGAGAAGAGCTAAGGATGGCCATGAAAAACGCACAGTTCTTGAGTTGGGGATTAAAGCCTGATGAAGATGATGATTAAAGCCTGAAGAAGATGATAGAAAGAATGCTTTATAGTAATTTATACTATGGATATTGGTTAAGAAAATAGAATTCTGATAGTGAGAACTGCATAGCCAGCTTGACTAATGTTTACTAATATTACTAGCATGAATATACACCTAAAATAGTGACTTGGAAGCTGCTTTTTATTTTGCTGCTGCAACAAAACTATTTTGTTGCAGAACATCTCAGCCACACAGGAGCATATTATTAAACTGGAAAATAACTCCTTTTGGTTAACTATTCATTCTTGACCTCAGCCATTTGTTTTGATCTAATTCATAATTTGACAAAATTGTTAGGGGTACTGTGGTGGTGGCTGGCCTAATTAACTTAAGCAGAATTCAGGGAAAAGCGAGTCAAACCTGTTTTCTAAATCGTAACCCAAAACGATACGTAGCTCATGTGGAGTGTGCAGCCTTATGTTTTGGCACAATTCATTGTTGAGGCTGAAGTAGTTTTTAAGCAAAAAAAAGAAAACGTGTTGCTCAAAGGTAAAATAATCTGAAATATTGATATAGCAAATTGAAATTTTAAATAATTCTTGCTATGTATTTTTGCTAGTAAAGACAAGCTGCTTGACTAACTGAAAGCAGAAAAAGTACCCAAATATTGAAGTTGATTTTTAGTTCTTGAAAGTCTCTGGAGGACTTCTAGAAAATTACTTCACCACTGTTTGCTTAAAAATGGATTGTGTCCATTAACTAACTCCTTAAAGATAATAAATGGATTAACTTAAGAACTCAGTAAATTGACTGCAAGTACTAAGCGGTAGAAAAGCTGAAGCAGGAAACTGCTCCAAGCTTGTATAGGACATGTTGGGAGGGGCTATCACTTTCTCTGGCTAGTGGGGTTTTTCAGCATAATTAGACTTCATGGTGCCATAAAATTCCCCATACTTCCATATACAAGTTTATACTAAAATGTAAATCATCTTCTGTAGTCTTGCGTTTCCCTCAAGCATTTGGTCAGATCCAAACCTAAAGGTCATTGTGATGTTTTACTGGTCAAGAATTCCTGTTCCTTTGGCTTTCTGAAAAACTCATTAATCTACCCGGTTGCCTCCCAGACCCCACTGGCCCCAGCTGTAACAGCTATGGTTTTATTTTATTTTTTGGCACTGGGAATTGAACTCAGGACCTTGCACTTGTCAGGCAGGGGCTGTGCCGCTGAGCTATATCCCCGGCCCTGTGGTTTTGAACTTTAGCCTCATCTTCTCAGTTTTTTGCGTTGTTGCTCAAGTCCTCCTTCTAAAACACAAATCTCCCTTGCAACTTCGTGTGGCTGGCTCCACGCCACCCTGCAGGCTCACCTTTGTCATTTCTTAGTATTGCAGTGTGTGAAACTGCTAATCTCCCTCAGGTCTGTGTCAGCTTTCCTGATGTTAGCCCGACCATGCATCCCTGAAGATCCCTCACACCCAGTGAGCAGTGATGCTCTGCCTTCGTTTTTATTCCCCTGTATTGTAAACACAGGTTTGCTGCTGTTCTTGATTCGTCTTTTATTTCTGTGCCCTGTACCATGAGGGTGTGTTGGAGATGTTGTGAAATATGTTGAATGAATAAACGTAAAAGTAAAAATCCAATTTTGTTAATTCATCATTATTTTTAGGAAAACAATTAAAAATTTGCCACATCAAAAGTGAGAAAGTGGGGCTGGGGATTTAGCTCAGCGGCAAAGCGCCTGCCTGACAAGCACAAGGTCGTGAGTTCGGTTCCCGGTACTGGAGAAAAATGAAAAAAAAAAAAAAAAGGACAAAAAGACAAAAGTGAGAAAGTATTTTAACAGAAAAACAAGTTCATGTAACTCCCTAAATTATTACATGGGATATGTTCCTTTGAACATCTTTAAATTTTAATTATACTCATTTCATGGAGAGCACACACGGTAGACCTTATTTTTATCCTAATAAGCTGTTGACTTACGGAATTTTAGCAGTTTATCCTTTGCCATGATATCGAAAGTTGGTATTTGTGGCCACCCTATTGACCTTTCATTCTACTCCACCACCTTAGAATATCTCAGAATCCACTTCGAAATTTAACTTTCACATTAAAAAAGTTTAGTTTTGATCACTGAAAGTATATCTTTCATCAGATTCATTAAAAGAAAAAACATCTTGCTTCATCCTTGGATCCTCAACTTAGAGGTATTTAAATAGGTTTATGCAGAATGATAGACTGAATATCTACTATAGCTCTCCCCATTAATATTCATCTTCTGGCCGGCCATGGTGGCGCAGGCCTGTAACCCCAGCATGTGGGAGGCTGCGGCAGGAGGATCTTGCAAGTTTGAGGCCAGCCTAGGCTACAAAGTGAGCTCAAGGCCATCCTGAACTGCATAGCGAGACTCTGTCTCCAAAAACAAAACAACAAAACAAAACAAAAACGCAAAAAATAATCTGTAATTGAAAAAAATGTATGTAAAGAAGTAGGGACATGCATCTCATTGGTGCTGCTGTGCATTTGTAGACAGGGATGTGTTCAGGTCTGTGCTCCAGGTTAATTAAAAGGCACAGCACCTCCCTGCAGCGTGCTCGGAGAAAGTATTTATTGAATAAAACAAAAATACAGGAATGACACAGTTACTTTTGAATCTTAAAATTGGGCACATTTACTTAGTTTCTGCTTTAATTTTGATTAACCATCAGTGTATCCTACTCTATTCTGGAAAGGAAGAAAAAGGAAATTGGAACTTGAGCACTTTCATACGGTGCTTAGGAATGTACTTTTAGACTGTAGGAAGCCAGTTACTTGCCCTGTTTAACAACTGAATGAAGGATGCGTCACACTAGTTTGTAACGGTAACTGGATTTGTTCATTGCGTAGCACGTGGTAGGCATGGTGCAAAATTTTTTGAAATGTTTTATTTCATTTACGCCAATATCATCCTATGGATAAAAATACTGTTTTTTTTTTCTTTTGGAGATAGGGTCTCACTACGGAGTTCAGGCAGGCTTTGAATCACTTGTGTAACCCAGAATGGCCTCAAATTCTGAGTGTTGGGATTACAGGTGTGCACCACAACACCCAGCACTTTTAAAAAAAAAATAAATGAGGGAACTCAAGTTTAGGGAGATGAAGTAATCTGTGTGAAATCTCCCTACCTGTAAGGGGTTAGAAGTAAGATTGGACTCCGGAGACCCTCAGAAGCCTATGTTTACGTACCAGTTTTGGGGTGCAGTGCTGGAGACTGAGCCCAGGGCCTTTGCACCGAGCTATGTCCCCAGCTGTGGTTTTTTTTGAAAGAGTTACTATTTTAAGACTGGTCTCTTTAAACTGTCAAATTGGGCTCAAATCTGTAATTCTGCCTCGGAGGCTGTCAGAGTGCTGTGATTACAGTCAAGCACTACCACGCCCGCCCTACCTACCTTCCTAAACAACTCTAACCCGCTAGTTACGTGCTTTTTAGAAAATGAGGCTGTCATTGTCTATAGTTTTTTCTTTCTTTTTAAAATTTCACTCTTGTCAGTTATTGTATGTTCCGTAATCTTGTATAAAGTTCGAGGAACCCGTGTGTTGGCATTCTCGTCGTGTCCCCTATGTCATGCTAGGAAACAGCACTTTGTTTCTTTTAAGATTCTTACTTTCTTTTCTAGTTTTACTTGTCAGTAGTGAGGGTGATCCTAAAATTTATCAAACACTGAACATGAAAGGAGGTGCTATTTTTAATTTCAGTAAGATGATAGGTGGAAGGTAGACCCCGTTATGCATTCCGTGTGCAGGGAGGAACTCCTTTAGGAGCTACTTTCTGATACCGTGCAAGTGAATGACTAAGTCTGAGTGATGAACAGGATAGTTTTTACGGAAATAGCCACTTTTAGGTAATGCAAGGAAATAGCCATTTTTAGTAAGTGTCAGTTGTAGTATTGCCATAGAGAAGTGCCTACAATGAGAGCATTTAGTAAGCAAGTTTTACTAGCTCTTCCAAGTATCTGATACGATTAAAGTTTATTAGCTTTTAAACATGATTCACAAGTTGTAAGCTGGCAAAGGAAAAGGTGTTTTGGGGGTTTGTGTATCTTCTGATTAATTTGTCAATAAATACCTGTGTGGAGCTCAGTGAATCAGTGAATGTCTTTCCGGTAAAATTTGCTATGAAACTAGTGAAAGTTGCTCATGCTTAGCACTGTGAGAATTACTTTTAGTCCTGTGATAGACTGTGACATTGACCTTCCTTTCTCATCACAGCTGGGGAAGTCCGTCCATTGCGAGTACTGGTGCAAACCTGTAGAGTATATTGGTGTGTTTTCTGTTACGTTAAAAACCTTTATAGAAAAGGATTTTGCTATGTAATTTTTAATCAGAAAACAGCACAGATTATTATTTTTCTAAAGTTTATTTGCTGAATAAATGAGATTAGCTTTATTATAACTATAAAATAATGCTAAAGGCTGCAAAAATAGCATAAAATATGATTGTATTAACTGTTTTTATACCTTTTAAGATAGAAATTTGACCATAAGCTTCCCTTTCACTTACATTAAAGGTCATTGACTTATTTCCTAGTTGTTCTCTTTTTTGTGTGTGTATCTACATTCCTACTGATGTCTTTTTGTATTGTGTAAATCGCTCAAATGTCATAAGGAATGTTGTAAAAAAATCATGGTTGCACATTTATAACTCAGGATACACGATGCAATTAAATGTACTTTAAAAATGTAAGGATTGGGAAATGTACTTGCAAATTTTTCATTTTTTAAATGATTTAAAGTGAATGTAAAGGACGAGATAATAAAGAACATTGAATTGATTTGTTTCCTTTTACATATTCATTAGAAATTTGTTAAACAGTTCATCTTTCTTAAGTCCTACGAGAAAGTATACCAGAACTGTGGCCCTGTATTTTGAGGGGTCAAATTGTAGCTTAGAAAACAATTTGCAGAATGCACCAAAATCCACTTGGAAAGTTTAAATGGCAGCTGTGACTTTGACACAAATGAACATTTAAAGTGAAATTCATATATTCTTCTTGTCCTGAGTAACTTTTTTTTCCATTTTTTCAGTGTCATTTTAATTCAGCAAAAAAAAAAACAAAAAACATAAAAATTTGTATTCTCTGAAAATGTCTACCACTGTAAAAGAGAACTAGTGTTCTAAATAGAACATTTTAAATTTGAGGGAAAAAAGGATTTTAATATGTGGTGTACTTGATTCCTACTTTACCTATGTATTGAAATTATTAATGGTTAATACAGGAAGTGTTTGTGCTCTAAACCATGTGAGGCCAATGGAAAGGAAGTGATCAGTGGTTAATTTTCAGTGACTGGATTAAAAACAGTGATGGGGAAGCAACTTCTAGAAATACAGAGTAAATACTTTTTTCTGGTAAACACAACTAACAAACAGTAAAGGTTTGTTCTAAAACACACAGTAAAGGGTTGTGACCTTAGGCAGGTACTACTGCTGTTGTCCCATCTTCCCACCTGCAACAGCAGATGTTGAGTGGGAAGCTGGCAGCTGGGAAGCAAAACTGTCCCTTCAAATAATGAAGCCATCGTGTTGCTACTCTCGAAGCCTGAACTCTTCCTCCTGCCCCAGAGAAGTAGGTATCCTTTCTCCCCTGAATTGTCAGTGGGAGCAGTGAGGAACCTGATTTTCTTTTTTGTCTTCTTGAGACAGGGTCTCCCTATGTAGTTTAGGCTGGCCTTGAGCTCACTTTGTAGCCCACCCTGGTCTCAAACTTAGAATGATCCTCCTGCCTCAGCCTCAGGCGTGTGCCACCACTCCTGGCAGAGCCTGATTTTCTAACTACTTGACAGTAGGGAGGTGAAGTACCCTTCTCCCCACCAAACTCGTGTCGCAGGAGCCCTGCTGAATGAAAGATTATTTTATTTTGTCTTTTTGAGGCGGTCTCAGCTCACTTTGTAGCGTAGGCTGGTCTGGAACTCAAAATAATCCTCCTGCCTCAGCCTCCTGAGTGTGTGTGTGGGAGGCACACATGACTACAGGTGTGTGCCACCACACCCGGCTTCCAAACAAAAGATTCAAATAAGATTCAATGCCTTAAATATCCAAGTTTTTATTTATTTATTTATTTTTCCGGTACCGGGAATCAAACTCACGACCTTGTACTTGCCAGGCAGGTGCTGTGCCACTGAGCTAAATCCCCAGCCCCCTCTGAGTTTTTTTTTTTTTTTAATTAATTCAGGCCAAGAATCATTCTCACCTTGATTGAGAAATAAGAAAGATCACCAGATAAGGTGAAAATACTGTTAGAGCTGACTGAGAATTTTAAAACAACTGTCATCTACATGTTGCTATAAACAGTCGAAAGCCTCAGTAAACAGTTGGGAAATAAACAGAAGAATGAACCAGGGAGAAATTTTTAAAGTAAAAAATGTACTAACCACAGCTTAAGCTCAGCAGCAGAATGGGGGTGAGTGAATGACTGCAATTTAAGTAATGTTAGCCAGTCTGAGCTGAGGGTGCTGGCACACGTCTGTAATCCCGGCACTGAGGAGGCCGTGGCAGGACTGAAAATTTGATTCCAGCCTGGGTTACATATCAAGCCTCTGTCTCAGAAAAAAAAAAAAAAAATTCAATCTGAACAATGGAGATAGTACAGACTGAAAAAAGTGGACAG